GTTGCAATATGCGTTTTTGTTGCCTGTTGCAGCGCTCTAGCGCTGCACGGCAAAAACGCATAAAAATAAATCTAAAGGCATTGCTAAAAGCGATAATCGATCACTTTCTAGAATTGGCGGATCCAGGAGAGGGGAAGGGGGAGAAGTCTTTCACCACCACCACCACCTTCAAGATCTCACAGGCAGCAGCTGTTTTACTGTAGAAAACTCTGTTCGAAACCGCCTGTCGTCCCCCCCCCCCTCCTCGGAGGTCGTCGTGGAGGGGAGCCGGGGGAGGGGGGAGGGAGGGGGCGAGAAGTTTTCCATCACCACCATCCCCTCCAAGATCTCTCAGGTAGCAGCTGTTTTACTGTAGAAAACTCTGTTCGAGACCGCCTGTCGTCCCCTTCCTCCAGGAGACGCCCTAGACCCCTCTACGCTTTTTAGTTTTAAACAATTTTCGAAATCATAATTCAATAAACTATAACGCTGAAACAAAATCGCAGATGCTACTCTGCACAACCTCAGATCTTAGCTGATATCAGTTACTCTAGGATTACACATTTCCCAATGTAAAAAACAAATTTCAAAATGTACCACTGAGGTTAGGTTTCGTGACATCTGGTATAGAAGTGGACGCTTCAATATCCTCCAATGTAGAGCTTTTGCTAGTTTTTGGCGCTTCCGGTGCATCAACTTTCACGAAATCATCATCCGAGCCACGGCGATCTTCCAGCGTTTTTGGCGTCGATCCTGTTAACCCAGCCGTTAAATTAAACCAAATTTAATCATACGTTCCAAATAGTTCAAATAAAACAAACGATGAGCTTAAAAGTAATATAACTTGAACTGGTACAAAAACGAACATTTCAAAATTTAAAAAAAGAGGAAAAAACGCTAACGATTTTCATCTGAATGACATAACCCAAGGAAAAATGGGTACAAAACGAGTCAAGCAGTAAAACTGAGCTGCATGCAGTACGGCTAAAATCAACTCTAAAACGAAAATTCCGAAAACTGGACAAAACTTTCTACAGGAACTTCAAATTTACATACCAAATTTTCTAAAAAAAGATACTAAAACAGACAGAGAGAATTAGAAGACAAGTTGGAAAGATGCCAAAAATCAACATATAAAAAGGTTTTTCAATGGATACTTGAAAAATACTCACTTGGATAAGTAGCATGTTCACAGAAAAGTGCATATGCTTCACATTTTTCGAGTAACTCTTCGTGCGGGCCTTCCCCCTTTATTTTCCCGCCTTCCATGTAGCAGATTCGATCGCATTTAGCAAGCCGCTGAATAAATTTGCTTCAGTCAGACATGTAAAGTATTTTTGTGTGATTATATTTTCAACTTACAGGCTAGAAAGACAAGCTAGAAAGTTGAATATGAAAAGCCCGATGCAATAAAGGCTTCGATTGCGAGGTACAAAACGACAAAACAGTGACTACTCTAAGTACTCAACCGCTCGAGCAACATTTCCACTTTTCAGTGAAGAAGTGAAACTGGATTTGGGAGAGGATAAGGGCGGATGTTCGCTGCAAAATGCACTCGCTTCTGAGTGAAACCACCTTAAAAAACTGAGCAAAAACGCTTGCTCGCATAAGTTAATTTGACATTACTGTGCCCCTCTCCCCAAACATATCGTAAGCCTTCTCCATTATGTTCTTCCTCCTCTTTCGGTAGAAGTTCCGAAATCAAACATTTCGATCCATATAAGAATGTATTAATTTTCTTTAAGTCTTTTTTAAAGGACTGGTTTGAAATTCAGATAAGTATGAAGCAACAGATAATTTATCAGCTGATTCGAATTTAAAGACCTGAATTTAAAAAACTTAATTTTTAAATTAAATCTTAACTTGAACTTTTCCGGATTAAATTAAATTTTTAAATCAAATTTTTCTGGATTAAATTAAATTTATTTTAAATTAAAATTTTTTGGATTAAAATTTAATCTGAATTTAAAAAACTCCAAGTCAACCCCCCCTGCCCTAAATTCATCTTATAGGAAAAGCAAGGGCAAACGGAAATAATCTGAGCGGTAGCAAATGCTAACAGCAATCGCTCGCTGGTAAGGTTACTGATAATTACAGCTCCCTTTTTTCGGGGTTATATAAAAGCAATTTGATGGGATTTCACTTATTAAACATGCCTGAGTAGTGATTTTGCTAAAAACTGCAAGAACTAACATTGACGTCCGTGCTAATCATGATAACCGTTTTGTTTGCAAGCATTTCCTTGACGGCACGCTTAAAGATACGATCGGCCACTTGTTGATCCAGGGAAGCAAATATATCATCCAGAACATAGATGCGAGAATTCGAAAAAAGTGCCCGCGCTAAGGAAATTCGCGCTTTTTGTCCCCCAGAAATGGTTACTCCACGTTCTCCGATCTGAAAAAAAATGCACAAAATTCTCTACAGATTACAAACTACTGGTAACAGAACCCGGCAAACCTGATGATACTTAAACGGTACTTTAAAACTCCCTCTCCCCTTCGCCCCCCCCCCCTCATTCAATCCTTTTTATGTTTTTTGCAGCTATGCAATGCAAAAAACGCATACTGACAAGGGGTTGTCTTTGTGTGTGTCTGTGTGTTCGTCTGTACCGATTTTTCATCTCCAAACCTACAAAAACTACAGGGCTGAAACTTTGGGAAACTTAATCGACATGTATGTACGGGCCCCCATTCCCAAAATGGTCGGTCTTACCCGCATGGTACCCATGTACGCGCCCGTGAAATTTTTCTTCGGGAAAACCGCTAACTCGCGAATCTGAGAAGCTACAAGGCTGAAATCTTAAGGGGATGTCCCTCATCCAAGTTGGTATTAATGAGCTCAACCCAGTCCGCAGGTAAGCGCGGTACCTACGTATGGGCCCCTGAAAGTTTTTCTGGGGCAGGTTGCTAACTCGGGAACCCGAGAAGCTAGAAGAATGGAATTTTGAAGGGATGTTTCCCAACAGTCCTGGCAGCCAGTCTGAAATTCTTTTACCTAGAAGCATCTGCTGGAAAATCCAGTGCCGTTAGCGACAAAAATCTGCGGGGAGCTATGCAAAAAACGCATCTTCGCATGGGCAGCCCGTGCGTTGGCCAACTGTTTTAATACCTGACCTCAGTTTGATCTCCAGCTTTCATTGTTTCCAAATCTTTTGACAGTTCACATGCCGTAATAACTTTGAAATATCGGCTTGTGTTCATTGGCATCCCAAACAATATGTTACTTTGTACCGTTCGATTTAGAATCCATGGTGTTTGCGTGACATAAGCCACCGGTCCCGAAACGTTCAACGATCCATCCCTCAAAGCCAGCTTAAACGAATAAAAAAAAAAATTAATTGGGGAAAAAAGCGAAAAATCTCTCTGGTAAGCAAAAAATAAAGAATTTTGGGAAGGGG